CCTTGGAGTTGTTAGCGCTAGCGCTAACTAAATGTAAACACCTTTACTTTCCAGCTGCCGTTAATTGGTTTGGGAATATTTATGTAAGTGTTGATTTTCAGGCTAAAAATAGTGCAGTGATGTTTAAATCCGACTCATTCTGGCTGTCAGAAATGCTCCCATGATCCTGAAAGTGTTGCTAAAAATGTTCACTTTTTAAAAATTGTAGTAATTAAACTTGTCTGTTGTGAGAGCCACATATGATATGTTCTCTGCTCTGATAAAAGAGATACAGGACAAGCTTCTTCAAGGCCTCTGCCGGGTTTGCCAGACACCACCTCCCGCTGAACTTTACCAGAAAGCAAAGAATTGTAATCTGGGCAAAAGGAGGAGACAAAAGAAAATTTTGAAGTTGCTCTAGATCCTCATATTCGAGGCAGTGGATCGCATCTGGCTATTTTAAGTTAACGGTAAAAATAGAAATTATAATAGTTTTATTAATACAATTAAGCATAGAGCTTCCCAAACCGTTGACTTTTTTAGAGGCAAGTTTGGGGACTTGAAATCGCGTAATGAATATTTCTCAAGTCTCAAGTTGAAGAAATATCGTGTCTGTTCCACACCATTTGTTTATACCTCTAGCTCTTCATCATCAGATTATTTTTGCCCCTTTACTTCCCAACTAAAAAGTCAGATTTCACAGATTGTTCTCAAAGTTATTTAAATAAGCTATGAGGGGGGAAAAAATTCATTTTTAGATACGTGTGATTTCGTGACTCTTCACCATGTTATTTAGTGAAGGAAAAGCCTAAGCGCCCCTAAATTATTGCTTGTCGGGTATCTTGTAATTTTTGGAAAAAGTGATTTTATGGACCCCGTCAAGAAAGAAGTTGCTGTTGTCTTTAAGTCTGGAAGCACTGCACTGCTCCCGTGTTGTTGAAGTCAATTTGGAATTGGCTTTGTGTCCTTGCAGGGTGCCTTGAGTATCTGTCTGCCTGCCCCGTCTCTAGAGAATAGCAAAGAATTCTGTTGTTGCAATATATAGGAATGATTTTGGCAAGTGACACACACTGCCCATTAGTTGAGATGATAAACTCTAGTCACTGCCCTTTTCGATAGCTGTGGTGAAGCAAAGACTTTTCAATGCTCCTTTTAAAATAGTGGGACTCTTGTCTTAGAGAAGTCTGTGAACGTGTGTGTTCATTTTTAAGTCTGTCGTTATTGACATGATTGCTATAAAACCGTAGTCAGTTCAGAATTATCCTTGAGCAGAGTATCACATTGCAACTGGCCCAATATTGCTTTCAAATTCTAATTGACATTTCCATATACTTAGAGCATTAAGTATGTTGTTGACATAAATAGAACCTTTACTTACTATCTAACTGGAACTAGAAAAAAGTTACTTTAACCTTGTAGAATATTGATTAGAACCAGAAAGTGTGCTATTTTCTTATCTTAGCAAGGGATCAACAAGAAAATTCCACTTGTAGTAGGAAGCAAAGAGGCAAAAATACTTAACATTTTATAATATATATCCCAGTTTTTTCTTTGACATTCTGAGGATATATATCCATGAAGAATTACAGAACCAAAAAGAATATTTAATTCAACTGATAGCCACTGTTAACTGTTCATGGATGCAAAGCCTTTATATTGTTAGGCTGCTAATACTCTCTAAGTTGATGTCCAATTCGAGTGATTCTTACCAAAATCCAGCTGGCTTTTTTTTTTTGTCTTGCAGAACTTGATGTTCTGATTCTAAAATTTGTATGAAAATGCAAGGGACTCAGAAGAGACAAAACAAACTTAGAAAAGAACAAATGTGGAGAATTTGCACTTCCTGATTTCAAACTTAGTACAAAACTAAATACTCAAGACTGGGTAGTAGTGGCATAAGGATAAGTATGTAGATCAGTGGAATACAGTTGAGAGTCCAGAAATGAACCCTTACATTTTTGTTCAGTTGAGTTTTGATAAGGGTGTTAAGACAACTCATTGGGAAAGAATTGTCTTTATGACAAGTGGTGAGTAATACTATGTACAAACACTAACTCAAAATAGTTATATGTCTAAATATAACAGCTAACCTTATAAAGCATTTAGAAGAATATAGGAGTAAATCTTTGTGACTATGTATTAGGCAATGTTTCTTTGATACAACACCAGAAAGCACTAACAACAAAAGAAAAAAAAAATAAATTGAGCTTCATTAAAATTAAGAACTTTGTACTTCAAAGGGCATGTGGAAAAATTTCAAGAAGTGTCTCCCACAGAAAGGGAGGAAATATTTGCAAATCATGTATCTAAAGAATCTGTATACCGAATATTTAAGGAACTCTTACAATTCAATAATAAAAAAAAATAATTAGATATTTCTTCAAAGAAGATCTGTAAGTATCCAGTAATCACATGAGAAGATATTCAGCATCATTAGTCATTAGAGAAATTCAAATCCTTAGTCACTGGGGATATGCAAAAAGAAAACCACTTCACACACACCATGATGGCTAAAATTTAAAAAAAGGAAAATTAAAAGTGCAATAGGTGAGGATTCAGAGAAATTCGTACCTGCATATATTGCTGATGGGAATGTAAAATTGTGCAACATTATGGAAATAGTATAGCAGTTCCTCACCATGTTATACAGAGTTCCCATATGGCCTAGCACCCCTACGTGGATCTCAAAGAGAAATGAAAACATAAATGTCCACAAGAACTTGTCCTTCTTAGCAGCATTTATCTCACAATTGAATATTATTTCAAATGTTTGTAGCAACATTATTTATAATCAGAAAAAGTGGAAAAAACCCAAGTGCCTGTCAAGTGATGAACAGGTAAACAAAATGTGGTCTGTCCATATGAGGGAATATTATTTAGCCCTAAAATTCATGAACTACTGATATATACTACAACATGAATGAGACTTGAGAACCTCGTACTCAGTGATAACAGCCACATATCTTGTGATTCCGTTTGTATAAAATGTCCATGATAGGTAAATTCTTAGAGACAAAAAGTAAATTAATGATTGCCGGCAGGGGTGTGGGGGTGGGCAGGCAGAATAGGAGTGATGGCTAATGGGTGTGGGGGTCTCTTTTTGAGATTTTGAAATTGTTCTAAAATTAGATAGTGCTGATGATTGCAAAATTCTGTAGATCAACTAAAATAGACTGAATTGTACTTTTTAAAAAGGTAAATTTAGTGTTATGTGAATTATATCGTGATAAAATTTTTATAAGAAAAATAAAATAGTGGGTCTTAAAGCCCCAGTCATGCCTCTGATTGAAGTTGCTGCCCTGTTGACATCTTGTTATGTTGCCACCTCGTGAGAGATTCTACCCCAGAACTCGCCCGTCTAAGCCACTTATAAATATTTGACTCACAGAAGCTCTGAGAGACAATAGGCTTTTTTAATCCATGTAATTTGGGGGTAATTTATTACACAGCATTAGGAAGCTAATACAATGCCATTCTGCTCATGCATTCATTAACATCCCTGCAATGAGCTCTGTGTGTTGGGTACTTAATAGAGGACTAGACATGCCCTTACCCTTCCTAGAACTCCCTCTTGTGTAAGAGAGACAGGGAAGAAGGTGCAAATGTTCTGACATGTGCACTAGTCATGAGCTCAAGTATTTTGTTAAATTACCTACCTAAGTATATTTGTAAGCTGCGCAGCCCTGTACACTCTTTATGTGAATGAGACTATTTTAGTTTTTTCTCTGTAAGCATAGATCAAGTCCTTCATAATAATAGGAATGTTTAAAAGCTTTCAAAGATATTCATCTTTTAAGATTTGGTGCCTTAAACTAAAACATACTCTTTGACCTTTTAGATCTTCTTCCCTTTCTTTATCCCCTCTGGAAGGGCGAAAACAAATTAAAAAAAAAAAAAATCAAGTGTGGACCAAGTCCCTCACAAAGGCCAGAACCCCTATGTGAAATGTTGCTATTCTGTCTAAAAGTGAAATACATTTTTTAAATCATTTCACACTGACAAACTGCTTGAATTGTGAGTCCAGTGCCTTGTTTTCTTCAAGATATTAACCTAATTCCATTATGCCCCACCTCTTAACTGATATATTGTCTTTTTTTGTTGTTGAAATAATGCTTTCAGATCCATGGATGCTCTGTTTACAGGTGTGGTGCTTGACAATGGGTCTTTTTCCATGTGGTTTGTCGACTTGGTGAAACCTGAGTCCACGAGTAACACGGTTTATGACTTTGCTTCTGAAGATTAGTATATCTGCAGAATCCCTCTGTTCCAGTGCAGTTCCAAAGCCTACCGGAAATCTGATGCCTTACAAATGAGATTCTAAATCAAGCCTGCTTTATAGAACCCGTTCTATGTAACATCCAACTCAGCGTGGCTGCTGTCTTGGAGTGCTTGCCTCCTCTGGCCCTCTTAGCTCTCTGTAGGGGAAGAGTGTTTACCCTTTTAGAAATTAAATGGTTAATTGTAGTTTCCCTCTGCTGAAGATCATCCTCAGAATGAAAGTCTATGACAGAGTAAGACCTCCAGATTTCTTTTCCTGCCCTAGTCCTGTTACACTTTTGACAGGAGTGACCTTGCCAGGCAACCTTTTTTTTCATGGATTTTGCTTTCTTTATGTTTTTAGTGTCACCAGGGGGTGCAAGCAAGTACAGTACATTAAAGTTAATACATCACCACCTGTCAGTGGCACCTTCCCTTTGATACCCCCTTTCCTTGCTGATTTAAAACACTCAGTCCCAAAAGCTTATGGTTGAGTAGCAAGAAGCTAAATGATGTATTCCAAAGCTCTTAACAAATTGCCTTGTGTAAATGGCCCATCTGAGTATTTCAGAAGCCAAACAGGAGAGAAGAGAACATTGAAAGCACTGAAAAGATTAACACCTGTTTCCAGTCTTCAAAGAAATTGGAGCATACTATATATAGCGAGAGTAAAACCACTTGCTGTCTCACATTGAGACATTTTATTCAAATTCTCAGTTCGATATGCATAGCATCCACATGCTTCTGGGTTTGTTTGACTACAGGATTCCACACAGAACTTAGAAGATGGAGAAGTTATGAATGGTGTACAGACAGAACCACTGACGTCGCCGAAAACCAAGGATGCATTGAGGTATTCTCTTTATGTGAATGAGACTATTTTAGTTATTACAGGATAATGTTTCTTTAATAGTTTGTAGTTGTTTTTATTTTATAGGGAAGGTCAGGATAGGTAGAAGAATGGAGTGAAACCTGTCCCAATTCTAAAATTAGTCACTCTTTTATTTTCTTTTATGATAGAAGAACTTCCTGACAAACATATATAAATGAGCCTCCAAGTCTTTCAACTCTTCTGCAACCTGGATTTCTTAATTGCTTTATTTTTTCCTCTTTGGACAACAGTTTAAAGTGAATTTTCAGAGTTCACTGTGGTTGACTGTTCTACTTTGACATTAGCTCTTTGACTATTTCTCTGCATTTTGTTTTAACCATCTTGCAATATTTTACTCAATTTTTATAAAATGAATCCAGTCTATCACCTAGAATTTTTCATGGTTTTAATGTAAATAACTCATTATGTGAAGTCATTTGCTCTCATTTTCCCCAATACTTACTTTGTTCTGCACTAATTTCCAGTTCTGCCTTAGCTACTACACAGGTTCCATTCCTAGTTTTGCTGCTTGCTAGTTCTATGAGCTTAGGTAAGTTATTCATCTCTCTTTGCCTTAGTTTCTGGTCTGTACAACAGAAATAATATGAAACCCTTCTTCAGAGGGTTGGTATGAAGATTAAATGAATTCATGTATGTAAAGCACTTCAAACAGTGCCTGGGCCAGAGTTAAGTCATGGGGATGGTTGCTGCCATTGGCTACCACTGTATTGTCCTTATCGAGATGATGGTGATGGTGATGATGATGATGATACCACCACCACTCTTACCATCATTTTTTCTAAGTTGCTTCAAATTTTGCACTAGAAAAGTAATTCCATGTTTAATAGATTGTTGGCTTCAGCACTCAGAGGTGATGCTTCTAAGGTTGATGGTCATCCATCCATTCATTTACTCAACGTATTCTTTTCATTCAGTCCAATTACTAACAGTTGCCAAACATTTTGCATAGAATTAGCTTTTTAAAAAAATATGTGATCATCGTTTACCACATTGATTTACTGTGTGGACTTCCCTCACACAATTTATAGCCACATGACATAGGTGCTCTATTTAGATTCTGTTGCTCTGATGAATGAGATGCACAATATTCAAAATTTGGTAAAGAAAATCTCCTGGGCACTGTTTTTTTAGAAGCTTGATAAGATTGTTTTTGGAGGTAGGCATAATGAACATAATACTCTTCTTCTGTTTGCCTTTAATTTCATTTTTTTCAGTGTTAGCTTTTTGAAAAGCTTGCTGGCATCTTGGCTAAATGTTCTGTGGATAGACATCATTGAGTGAACCATTGTTTGATTTATGGCTACATGAACAAATGAACTAAACTTTCTCCAGATACAAAGAATTGAGAGGAATGGAGTATAGGAATTAAAAAAAAAATCTTTAATTAAAATATATGTGTGTACACGTATAATTTTTGCAAGAGTTTTACCATCACGTTTAATAGGCTAATAAATTGCAATTCAGAGCAATTAAGTAACTTGTAGAGACCCAATCTGCATCCACTACTCTTGTCTCCAAATACTTCGACTCCAGTGTTATCTGTTGTGTACACCTTCCCTTATTCTTTGGTATTTTATTTCATGCTAAGGAACTTCATGTGGTGAGCACCAGTTTGGAGAAATCAGCTGAAATCAGGTTGAGGCCAAGTTAAGAAAGTAGAGTAAGTGCATACTCCCAGCACTTGCAGGCTCTTGGGTACAGGGGGAAGAGAAGGATCTTAAGAGCATAGTAGCATGCACAGCTAGCGGCAGGAAGCTTGGCGATTACAGTTCCAGGAAAAGAAATGGGTTCTAGCTGGCCTGGGGTAATGAAGAAACCAAGGAAGAGAAATCAGGAAGCTGCTTAGGGCTGAGTTATGTGGTCATCATTCTCCTGGGGCAGGGAAGTCATGCTCTCCCACAGAGCTTGGCCCAAGAATATGACTTTTGGGCTCACTTTGATGTAGGTGGCATAGAAGCTCAGCACATAATTTGCAGAGTCCATCTCAAAATGTTTTGAACCTATTCCTATATTTTAATCCCCACAGTCATTTTTCAAGCCTTCATTACTTCTCAGACTATTATAGTAACCTACTGTCTCTTCTCTTGAATATCAATCTCCTTATCCTAATTGATCTCATGTATCGCTGCTAGGTAAAAATTTCTTAAACCACAGCCTTCAACAAACCATTCTTTCATTCCAATTGAATTTTGTTAAATCCTGGGTTTGAACACTACCTATGTAACTGTAGACTAATTATTTTACCTCTTTAATTTTTTTAATATGGAAAATGGGTATCATGATCACACAGATTATTGTGAAGATTAAATGAGATTTATCACAGGCAGTTGCACTTAGCACAATACTAAATGAATGGTTGGATAAATATTAGTTGCTACTGCAGTTATGATTAGCACACATACCACGGTTTATTGTAACTATCATTCTCCCATATAAGACTATGAATCCTCCAAAGGATTCCTGACACGTCATACAGATATACCAGCAGCATATTTGTTCAGTGAATGGTTAAAACACATTCCATAAATCATAAGCATACCTATTAGCTGCTTACCCAGTATTAACCCATTTTTATTTAAAGAAAAATAACCATAAGAGGAGGTTCTCCAAATAGTCTTACAATATGTATCTCTTATGAAGCACTCCTCAATTTACCTTGATCTTAAGATGATGAAGCAAAAGATTTCTACTGGGTGTTTTGTTTTTTTAACTACACTTTAAGCCTCTCTTCTTTCTTCCTTCTTCCTTCCTCCCTCCCTCCCTCCCTCCCTCCCTTCCTCTCCCCCCCTTTCTTTCTTTCTTTCTTGAAGGTGGGGGCAAAGAGAGGGGTAGAGGGAGAGGGATCATCTTTTTTTTTTTTAAACATTTTATTTATTTATTTGAGAGAGAGAGAGAGAAACAGCATGAGAGGGGATAGGGTCAGAGGGAGAAGCAGGCCCCCCACCGAGCTGGGAGCCCGATGTGGGACTCGATCCCAGGACTCTGGGATCACGACCTGAACCGAAGGCAGCCGCCCAACCAACTGAGCCACCCAGGCGCCCAGGGAGAGGGATCATCTTAAGCAGGCTCCACTCCCAGCATGGAGCCCCATGCGGGGCTTGATCTCACAACCCTGAGATCATGACTTAAGCTGAAATCAAGAGTTGGACGCTTAACTGTCTGAGCCAGCCAGGTGCTCTACAGCTTCTGTTTCAACAGCAAGCAATACAGGCAAAAGACCTTCACCTCCTCCCTAAGTTCAGCTTCATTCCTGACCTCAGCCTATTCCTTGACACATCTCCGAATTAGCCTTATCCCCATACTTACCTCTTCTCCCATGCTTAAAATGGCCATCAAGTTTTATTCTTTTTTGCCTCTGATATCCATTCATTTGGCAAACTATTGGGAGAGTCCATGTCAAAAAAAAAAAAAAAAATCCCTTAAACCTTTCCCCAGGTATTCATGCTTTATTCCTGTAATTATTGCTAAAGCCTTATTATCTCTCCAATTATTGCAATAATGTACTAATTCCTGTCTCAGGGACCAATCTCTATCTTGTCTTACTCTTTTCTAATCGATCCCACATATCACTGCCAGATAAATATTTCTAAACCACAGCATTTATCACCCCACTTCTTAGTGCCAACACCTTTAATGACTCCATTTTCTACAAAACTAAGTGCTTTTTTTTTTTCAGCGTGGAATTTGACGTATCACTCTGAGATTTGATCTCAAGCTGATGGTTCAACCTTCTCTTCTCAATACCTCCCCGTCTTTCCCTTCCTTTCTCCCTGCTCACTAGCCCCTTTCTTTAATATCACAGCCAGTCTGTGTGCCTACAAACCATCCTGGTTCAGTGTCTCTCAGTGCAGACTGTGTTCTTTCATCTGCTTGCCCCCTCTGTCCCCTCTCCTATTTTTTCTGATTGAAGATCCATTTGCTGTTCTTTTTTTTTTAAGATTTTATTTATTTATTTGACAGAGAGACAGAGAGAGAGGGAACACAAACAGGGGGAGTGGGAGAGGGAGAAGCAGGCTTCCCACTGAGCAGGGAGCCCGATGCCAGGCTCGATCCCAGGACCCTGGGATCATGACCTGAGCCGAAGGCAGACGCTTAGCGACTGAGCCACCCAGGCGCCCCTCCATTAGCCCTTCTCATTTCCATCTAAAATCCTCCTTCAGGAAGATTTTCCTGATCCCAGCTTTCCTTCCTGATCCTGTACTGATTTCTTCTGAGCCTCATCAGGAAGTGCCTCTACTTTGAAACTCATGTGAAAGTAGCTTAAAACTCCTGCTCTAGAATACAGTAAATTCCAATGTGGGTCCTGACCTTACCTTGTAGAAATGGTGTGAGGTTTGGCGATTTATTTCACCTTCTTAAGTATCAGTTTACTTATCCATAAAATGGGTCTGATATGTTTACTTTATACTTCTGGTAAGAATACATGGTATAATGCTAGAAGGCCATTAACACACTGCCTCCCAAATAATAGCTTATAATCATTGAAAATATACTACAATTACTACTACCATCCCGTTGCTTTGTATTATTCCCTGTTACCTGTCTTAACCTCCCGCCGGATGGAGAACTCCTCAGACATTGGCCTCTGTGTTTTCCTTGTAGAACTTCCTCATTGGAACTACTCAATTAATATACATTGAATTCAGGTGTATTAAATGAATCCCACCACCATCAATAACAAGTTTTTTGTTAGGTTTTTACTCAGTATATTTGCATCAACAAGACCTCACGATCAAGCATACTTCCATGCCATCAATAAACTCTTCTGGGAGGTCTCTAGTCAGTCCATCTCTCACACTGTTCCATATGACAGACCTGTGCATTAGTGCCTGAACACCTCCAGCTAAAACCTTCTCTCCATTTGTTACCCATCAGCTTCTCTATGGCAGCCGTCTAATCGTGAAGAAAACATGTTCCTCAACCCTACAGGACTTGAGGATATTTTTAAAAGTCTCACTGAGGAAATCAGTTGAGAAAAAAATGGAAAGTTTGAGATAATTTCCTTTTAATCCATAAACTTTCCCTCATAAAGTTCTAATAATCCTCCTAATAGCTGATAGTTATTGAACTTCTTGTATACACCAGATATTGTATGTATGATGTACATGTTATGTCCTCTAATTGTTTTTAAACCAACAGTTCTATTAGGAATTTATCTTAATTTCCCCATTGTCCAAATAAGGAAACCAATACTTTTGGTCATCATTTAAATGATTACTCAGATATCTGACTCAAAGGCACCACTAAGATACACTGTTTCTCTAATTTCATAAGTTAATCATGATTTTCTTCCGAAACAAGAGATGTCCCCCGCCAACCTGTCCTGAGTCCTCTCTTACCCTAAATGAGTAGCTTGTGACTGAGCTTAATAATCTCAATGTTAAAAATGCTGTCCATTTGCCTCGTGTGAGGAATTGGACCTGCAGCTGTCTGCAGCTCTTATATTCTGTCCCTCAGGCTTCATGTGTTTCTTCTGGATGGAGCCAAATGAAGCACTTGGCCGTGGAGTTCCTGCAGAGGAGCTGTTCATGACAAGCTCACTTTGAACCTTTTATTCTGTACCTTCACCCCGAGTTTTGTCCTAAAATCTTAGATAGGTAGCAGCTGGTCCCAGGAATTATTTGAATCAGTGTTGTCAGTTGGATCTTAGGACATTCAGCTTGCTTAGTACTGTTGGACCTGATGTTCTGTGACTGTCCGCTTTGGTTTTCCCGTTGTATAAAGTCAGCTGTTTTGATCTTAGTGACACTTTCAGCTTTTCTTTGCGTAATTAAAGTCTTTTCCCTTTACCCTACATTTCACTTTTTGTCTGTTTTTTACAAGTAGCTGCCGATCTCTTTTTCTTTCCACTGCTAGAATATCCTCTCCACCTGCTTCTTTAAATTTTCCATTCTCAGTCTGCCTCCAAAACATAAATTAATGTGTACATAGCCTGCTTACTGGTCGCTGAAACTTAGTCTGCACTTGGACTAAACAAATGGCATTAATAGTGTATCTCCACATCTTAGTAAAATCTCATTTTATAAGTATTCAAATAATTGTGTCCAATACTACTTGTTGTATTTATCTTTCATGAAGGGTGTATATATATATATATATATATATATATATATATATACACACACACACATACAGAGATTTCTACAGAATTCCATCAGGTATATGGAATGCAAAGGTTCTCCTCCCCCCTCTTAAAATAAGTAAAAATATACAGTCTATGAGGTTTCCTTTTTCAAAAGCTTTTCTTTCCGTTTTGAAATAATGAATAACATTTTATAAAGAACATAGTAAAACATAGCCTGTATAAAACTTGTACTATTTGGGGGCGCCTGGGTGGCTCAGTCGTTAAGCATCTGCCTTCAGCTCAGGTCATGATCTCAGGGTCATGGGATCGAGCCCCGCATCGAGCTCCCTGCTCCGCGGGAGGCCTGCTTCTCCCTCTCCCTCTCCCACTCCCCCTGCTTGTGTTCCTTCTCTCACTGTGTCTCTCTCTGTCAAATAAATAAATAAAATCTTTATAAAGAAAAATTTTGTAATGTTTGTCTATATTAAATAGATTTAATTCTCTATAACTGCCTACATATTACAGTCTACAAAATCAAAAATCTTTTATGCTTTTTTTCTGGGATAATATTTGTATGATAGTAATTTAGCATTTGTCACATGTCTTTCTAGACAAAGAATTGTGACTGCCATGTATATAGATAGCATAAGAGTTTATTCTTTTTTTAATTTTATTTTTACTATGTTATGTTAGTCACCATACATTACAGCGTTAGGTTTTGATGTAGTGTTCCATGATTCATTGTTTGCGTATAACACCCAGTGCTCCATTCAATATGTGCCCTCCTTAATACCCACCACCGGGCTAACCCATCCTCTAAAACCCTCAGTTTGTTTCTCAGAGTCTATAGTCTCTCATGGTTCGTCTCCCCCTCTGATTTTCCCCCCTTTATTTTTCCCTTTCTACTATCTTCTTCTTCTTTTTTTTTTTTTGTTTTTTGTTTTTTTACCATATAATTGTTTCAGAGGTACAGGTATGTGATTCATCAGTCTTACACAATTCATAGCGCTCACCATAGCACATACCCTCCCCAATGTCCATCACCCAGCCAACCCATCCCTCCCCACCACCACTCCAGCCACCCTCAGTTTGTTTCCTGATACTAAGAATTCCTCATATCAGTAAGATCATATGATACTTGTCTTTCTCTGATTGACTTATTCATAGTTTATTCTGAGGTCTCGAAAAAGAGAATATTATAAAGTATGAATGAACCTTTAAATTGCATCCCCAAGTGAGGTCATAGTGTTTTTAAACAAGATTGATTGCTTTAACAAATTATAAGATTTACTTTGAGTGTAAAAATAAAAGATTGATAGTTCCTAAAGAGTATGTATCTGTATAATACATAGAATTTATTATGTTTTACAGGAAAGGTTTTGAGTTGGGTAACAAAATATTTGCAAAATAGACAAAAAAAATTCCATAAAACCATCCTAAAAATTCTTAAGCTGAAATCTTGAACTCTATACTAAATACTTATATTCCAAAATCCTCTGTATAATACATATGAGTGCTATCTATCAGCATGTGGATATTTAATACATTTATTAGGAAAGATTTGTGTTATGCTCTAAGTGTAAAACTATAAAAATACATTGTAAAGGTAGAGATAACAAAGTTTTAATGATTAAACAAGATTTTCATCTTTGTTTTTAAAAGTCTTTAAAACAGTACTGTAACCCTAGAATGTAATGCTCTGGGTTTAGTCTTTCTCAAACAGCTACGAATGCACTATAAATCTGTTATTATATAAAAATTATTGCTTTGTGGTCCATTAAGAGTATAAAACTTTCTCCGCCCATCAGACAGTTTATATTCAGGATGTATAATGCATACCTATATATAGTATTTCATATGTATATATTCATATAATATCTGTATTCCCACACAGAAAGTGTCAAGAAGAATCTATTTTATCCCGTGATATTATCACTCTAAGATTTGTTTTATTTCTGACTTCTACCCCAGGCCTCTGATATAACCTGCTTGACTGAACAAGTTTTAAATATATCAGCAATATCTGAGCAAAACTCATTTGAAATTTATTATCAGATTTGAAATTCCATCATAGTCTACAAATGTTAGAAACTGACATGCTCTTTTTTACAGTTCTTAATGATAATAAGTTTGCAATGAAAACACATTAAAAATAAGCCCAGTCCACTGATGAGAATATATTTGATGTATTTGTTTTAGATTGCTGATAATTCAGAGAGTACTACACGCAGAGTGAATTCATCAGGCATTTTGCTTTCTTACTCTGTTCTCAACTTTCTAGCAAGGAGCCAAAATTTCACCGTTTTCAATTTGGGAACAGAAAAGCATTTGTAGCAGCTGTAGTTCTTAATTTGACATCTAGTTTCAGGTCATTTTCATGTAAATAGGAAACAATAGAGACCTGCTTACAATTTCCATAACAGGGATGCTTGCTTCAACTTTATCATTTTTCCTCTGGCAATTTTATTTTCTCTCTGTGGGATTAAATGAGCCAGTAATTGTTCATGGTTATTATTTTTCATCTTTATAAAAACTTGTTAGTTCCACTCTTTATTACTCAAAGTTTCCCACTATCTTGTATATTTCAGTCATACACACTATCCATTAATGTTTCTAGCTCATCCTTTCCTTAATCTGGAGTAGGTTAGGCGGGTCAGGCTTTCTATTTCTTTCTGTAATACGTTTTCTCCAGGCTTTACAACTTCTTTTTCTACCTCTAAAAAAACGAGGAGGTGAAAATTTAGAATTGTTTCATTGTATACAACCGATGCTTTATTGAAAGGCAAGTCTGAGTTCTGATTTTTAATGCTCCAAACATGCCCATATGTATTACCAACTGGGGCTTCACTGTTGTAAAATATAATTCCGTGCTTTTTCTAATAAATACATATTTTATTTCACTTTTCCTGTTCTGAGTGGGGGGAAGCCTACTTTATGCTTAAGCATAGTTAAGCTTAGTTCCATGTATTTTATCATCTGCACAGTAATTGTCAAGTGTGTCTCAATGGGGAGAAATTTCATTTTTGTGTATATCCTTTTAAATATGTTGATTTATGCAGATTAAGTTAAGTAGGAAGTTATTTTTGTGGGTCGTTATTTCCATTTGTTTCCCTTCTGGTGGAAAAAAAAATAAGAAATCAGTCTTTTAAACATTTTATTTCCTGGATCTTGTGAACATACCAGCAAATCATGTACTCATTTGATTTCATCTCTGCCGTTGAATTTACAGCAGTTGATATAATCTTAGGGTTTTTTTTTTTTTTTTTATGTGGTGCCTTTTTTTTTTTTTTTTTTTTTAAGCAGAGACTTATCTGTGCTCTTACTTTTTTCTGCCCCAGTGATATGACAAGAACAGTGGAGATTTCTGGGGAAGGAGGCCCCTTGGGAATACATGTAGTGCCCTTCTTTTCATCTCTGAGTGGAAGGTAAGATGTTTTCTTTATATCAGAAGCTCATGCTAATGAAAAACTTGACTTCAGCTCATTTTCCCAAACATAGTCAGGAGAGGATTAAATGTGTATCTCTTTTATTCAGACAGACACCTCAGTATATACTTCTGTTGTCCACTTAAGTCTTAGAAACAAAGTCATTTACTTCTAACATATAGTGGAAAAGCAAAAGTATCAATCACAATTTCTGCATTTATAATTAATTATGAAGTATTGTCATTTTTTAAAAAAGATTTGAGAGAGAGAAAACAAGCAGGGGAGGGAAAGTAGGAGAAGGAGCAGGAGGAAACAGATTCCCCATTGAGTGGGGAGCCAGTCATGGCGCTCGATCTCATGACCCTGAGATCATGAGCTGAGCTGAAATCAAGAGTTGGATACTTAACTGACTGAGCCACCCAGGCGCCCCTGAAGTATCTTCTTAAAGTGTTCTTGTCAGTGACACGTAGTAAACAGAATCCTTGAGAAGGATTTTAACATACTGTTAGACAAATATTACAACAGAATCTTTTAATGTTCCAAAATACACTTCAAAAAGTGAATATAGTAATCCAAATTGATATTTCCTGACTCTGCTCAGGTATATGGAACTTAGGATAATAAATATTCTAGCACTGTAAGTAGCTTTATCAGAAGCTCTATGTTTTCATGATTTTAACTGTAATAGTAAAATACCATTGTGCTTTTTTTCTAAAATAAAAGGTAATCAATTAAAAACAGTATGCCACCTCCTTTTGAAATTTTAAAGACATTTTATTACTAAATTCACAGTGACAAATGGTAATTTAGATGTCAGCATTTCTTGAAATTCATGTCCACCTAACTGGATATAAAAGTTGTTTTACTGTTGGAAATTAAAGTTTGTGCCTGAGAGTTAATATTAGTACTATTATAACAACTTTACAAAACTAGTATTAGATATTGTGTCACTGTTCAGTAAGATGACTGCCTTCAGCATTAGATTGATACTGACAAGGGCTATCTTAAAAGGGCTTTTCTTAAAATCAGTTTCTCACTCATGATATGATTTTAATTAATTTGCTAACTTTATTTTTCTTAAGTGCATCACTGAAAATTTCAGGCAGAATACCTTATTTTAGCTTAAGAGAGCAAAGTCCAGAAAAGCCCATTGATTTTTTTTTTCAAGGTCACACAAAATCCAGATCCAATCCCCCTTACTCCATTGCTCTTTCTAGAGCAAAAATTTCCCAAAGGTTATATAGTATTAATTTACTGGTTCAGAATATTTATTCAATTTAGTCTGCCACATAGCGGGGAGAGCAGATTTAGTCATGATATTTTGGTTGGCATCATTTTCAGCAGGTAGCCACCTGCTACCTGTAATTGCAAAGTCATCACCTTTTTTTGCAAATAACATCTGATGCCAAGCTCTTGCTGGAATGAATGTTCTCTAAAAAGAAATGAACTGAAAAGCCAGTGGCTCTTATTGTTTCATTTCCTGTATGTGTTAATAAGCGTGTTTATAAATGTTACGGGTTATGTCCCAGGACAAGCTGAGGTTGTTTTTGATAGACAGGAAGAGTATTTACCCAGTTGTCATGAGAAATTCTAATGGCTTTTGGCAGAAGTGTACTGATAGAGCTTTGTGAAATACCAGAGCGGTTAAATTACCAGGCCCTTTAGTTTAATGAAGCCGGAATAGAACACAAGATCATCCCAATTTCCAAAACATGAAGAAATGTACAATGTGACAGTCGCCATACTTCACTTTCAATAGTTCGGAAAACTAGTTGACCCTGTAGATGAGAAAGCACCTTCTCTTACGTCAAATGAGAGAAACACACTAAACTATATTGATTTCTTCCCTTCTCCTTCCTGGCTCTGATTTCTAGCATAAGCCTTGAAGAATAGAAAAAATGTTAGACTTGTATTCAGAACAATTGGATTTGAATCTCAATGTTCTCTTTTATAACGTTGAGCAAGTCCCCTAAACTTGCCTCTTGTGAATACCTACTTCACATCAAGTTTGTAGGGATTAAATGACATTAAAAATGTGAAAACTCCTTGTAAAGCACACAACGTATGAATGTGTAAATTTTCAGTATTATTAATATGGCTAAAACAAAAAAGCCTGGTTCAGAAATGAACTTTTATAAGTTCATGGTCAGCTGTTCAGTAACGTGATGAAATAGTTGTATAATTTTTTTTGCTCTCCATTAGTATTATAGAAAGGAAATTTAATTAAAAAACATAAAAATAATATGGAAGTGGAGACATGAGCCAATAAAAGTTAAGAAGTAATGAGTACAGGCTGAAACAGCACACTTAACTCAACCCATGTGTTTAGATGCAACTGAGTATAGAGCATGTCAGACAAGTGTCTGACTTCATAACACCATATGGTTTCAGTGTGTGAGCACAGGGGCTTGAGGGGGTGAGTTAAGGTCATAGTGGTATACTTAGTTCTTAATTTCCTTCCATTTATTGGTTTGTGTCATTATTTTAAATTAGAATTTACATTTAATTCTTTACTAAGACTACTGTAATTGACTTTGCCTCCAATTTATATATATATATATCTATACACACACACACACACACACACACACACATATGTGTGTATATATATATATGGGTTTTTTTTAGAGAAATACTGCCACACCTGTTGTTGAATAGGAGATGTAATCTCAGAATGCCCTGAGTACAATATAGTGGCTGCTGTACTGGTTAAGGCTTCAGTAGATTCATTAGGTACGACAGCATAGGGTGTTAAATGCCACTTGTATGGAGGCCCCTTGGCTTGTACATAAGAAACAAAACAAATATACAAAAAAACTGAGTTCCTGCAAGTAAAAAGCAATTTTATTTCATTGACTTTAAAAAAAAATTAAGGTACTTTTGTTTTAGAATTAAAAGCATGAAATCTGACTGTTTTTCAATAAAGATAGCATAATATACCTTAGTTTCCTAGTAAAGACAGCTAAATATGACAGAGAAGAAGGAAGGGATGGGTGAGGAATGACACGTAATGTAAGGAGAGGCAATGTTTAGATAAAAATGCAAAGCTGGTAGAATGGCCAAGGCCTGTGATGGGAGAGCAGAAGGGGGCAAGGAGTGGGTGGGTTAGTGTCTACATGATTATTAGAAGAAAAAGAAGCAATTCTGTGGGGCAGTGGGTTTCAGTCTCTCTTATCACTGCTCATTAATGCGAATTAACTGGTTCCTCTGAGCCTATAATTCCTCATCAGCATTAATCTTTAACTCCTAGGGCCTTGGTCCCAGACGAGACCACTACCACAGCCCACCAGTTTGGGGGCAGAGAGGAAAATGAGAGATTCTTTTCTGAGCCTTCTCATACTGGTCTGGATGAAATCAAACTGGAGGGAATCCATCCCTCTTTATGGAATAGAGAAGGCAGGAGTGGTTTGTTGCCAGGGACCAAACTAATAAAATCAGTCAGTTTTACATTTTACCAAAATTACCTCTGACACACGGGTTTTACAGTTGAGCTTATTCTGTCAATAAATTTTTCATGGAAAGTTAGGTTATTTAGATCAGTGAGGTTCACATAGCATACTCCAGCTGTAATATGCCAGCTAAATTGCAACCCAGTGGCCTGAAAGAATTAATTCATCTCCCAAAATGTGAAATTAAATCCTAGGGAGTAACATTACATGACTGATGATGTACTGAATTAAATTAAAGGAAGACTTGAATGCTTGTTAAAAAAATATCACTTACATAAACTAGTTTATAACCACATGTGAGCCTCCTAATGGATCATATTATTGTGAATCCACCATGACAAAAAAAAACCAAAATGTGAACTATTAGAGAGTTGTTTAATTTAGGAAAGAAACACTATTTTGTTCTATTTCTTCTTCTTTCTCCTCTTCTTCTTCTTCTTTTGCATGTCCAATAGCTCAATTTTTAATATTACGTTATACTAAGGTAGGATTAGTATTTCAAAAATATTAATTTGAATCTCAGATCCTTTATCAAATAGTAGCTTTGGCCCCTTTCCTCTTCCACGCAGAATATGATCAATTTACTAACCTCTTATAGGCAAGGCAGCCGAACACTGCCCCACACGCTCGTGCCTCTGACCCTGAGCCTTCCCTACCACAGGGGGCGTGACTCACTCTCTCCTGCATCAGCACACTGTATTCATCGGAGCAGAGACCTGAAGACCACCGCAGATGCCCCTCCTCTTGCCATCTTCTGAGGACAGGGGCTCATTAGATGAACAGGGGCCCTGGAGGCAGAGGCCCTACTGTGTGGCTGCTCCAGACAGGAAGACAGTTTTCTCCTCCACTTTCTTTAGAGACAGCCTTTTCTCCGTGGCTGACCCTGTAATTCACCTGTAAAATGCTCTATTTTATTCAGATCAGAGATTTAATATGAAGGGGCTGTGTGATAGTGTAGGAGGCCTGTATGCAAAAAAGAATGACAAAGCAGAAAAATAAGAGGCTGAGGGGCAGGAGGTAGCTGTATCTCCCACGCCCAGCAGATTCCTCCTAGAGGACATATCTGTCTGTCTTATTCTGAGGGCATAGCTAGGACCCCTGACAAGCCACAAGAAGAAGGGAAATCTCTCATATGAGAAATAGCTAAAATATATACAAGTTTGGGTGCGCCTGGGTGGCTCAGTGAGTTAAGCGTCTGCCTTTGGCTCAGGTCATGATCTCAGGGTCCTGGGATCAAGCCCCACGTTGGGCTCCCTGCTCAGCAGGAAACCTGCTTCTCCCTCTGCCACTCCCCCTGCTTGTGCTCTCTCTCTCTCTCTCTCTCTGTGTCAAATAAATAAAATCTTTAATATATATATATATATATATATATATACACAAGTTTGATTTCTTGGTATAGATACTACTAAAGTTCTTGGTGTAAATACTACTAAAATGCAACAGAATCACATGCACACACCAGGCATTTCATTATTGCTGTAGTCTTCTTTCTTCTGCCTTTTTTCTCAACTCCCCCTCTCCTGACTCTCAGTGGCAGCCACAAAGCACCAGGAGCCTCCAACTGTCCTCTCTGAGTCTTGAGTCTTACTGGTTGAAATTGCAGACAGGTCTTCCCCATGCCCTGCCCGCATCATGTCTCTGTCTCCCTCAGAAGCAGTGAGTGGTGGGTGTGCTGCTCTAGTCTGATTAGATAAAGTCCAGCAACTCATGTTCAAGGCCCCTCTGCATGGCTCTGGCTACCCCAGCCAGTGTGAGGTCCCCACACAAACACACAGGGTTCAGCCTGCCCCCGTGTATATTCTCTCTCTCCTCCTATCCAAATCCTACTCATTCTTTGGATCCAGTGTACATCCCACTTTCTCCCCAGATCTCCCATTCCTCCCTCCTGAGCATTGGAAATGCCCCACATGTACTTGATTCAGGGGCACTAACTAAATGGGACGGAGCTGCCTTTTAAACTGAGCGATATGATCTGTGCTTAAGTATTTGCTTCTTAAAGTGCAAATTACTGGAACAGGTAGTAGGATTGCAAAAAACTCTGGTGAGTGTCTGCTCCTCTTCCATCATTAAGCTCCAAGTTGTCTCGGCACCCACTCAAACCTATTACAGTCAGCCTGACACCCTTCTCCAAATCAGACACCTCTGTGTCCTCAACTCCATTGAGCTGTGGTGGCCTTTTCCAAGAATACTGCAGGCATGGCAATGGAGGCCTGGCTCAGTGTACTCTGGGTCGGTGTTTATGTGTGTCTGTCTTGAAGGTCTTTTTCTCTTTCACTGGATTTTTTTTTTTTTTTTTTACTAAGGATTTAAACAACAAACAGTTGCCTGAATATAAAGCATAATTTCTTTCATAAATAGAAACCAATACTTATTTCTGAATAGTTGCGAGTAGAGAAAAAATTAGCATATTATTATTCAGTAATTCTGTTTCAACCTAAATTTTGCATTTAGGATTCTAGGACTCTTCATCCGCGGCATTGAAGAAAATAGCAGGTCCAAGCGGGAGGGACTATTTCATGAAAATGAATGTATTGTAAAAATCAACAACGTGGACCTTGTAGACAAAACCTTTGCTCAGTAAGCATTTTTTTTCATTGTTTTATTTACCGTATTGATTTCTGGCATACTTATAATCATTACTAAGCTCTTGATGATCAAAATTGTTGTTAGAATATCTGGTCAGTCCCCTTTGAATGACCCCAGGACATCCATTTTCAAAGGCATCTTAGGTGTTAGCATCCGCAAAGGTGGCCTGCACATGTCCCTGGCAACCCCAAGAATAGGAAACTGAAGAATACAGTAAGCCTTACCGCCTGGTTGTCTGTTTGGATCATCCGTAGATGGGTTTGTTTTGCTTGGGCTGTGGGTCAGTTAGACTGGTATTTAACGACTCTTTTCACAGTCTGTTAGTTCAGCATATTAATTAACTAGCTTTGTGTCAGCGGTCTTCCTTAAACTAAATGTCTGTGAGAGATGCCTGTGAGGACTCACTGAGTAATAGAAACAAATAAAAAAAATTAAAATATTCTCCCTCAAGTAATCATTTTTCTGCATGTGCAAATGTTATGGGAATAGGTTCTTATAGCTAAGAATTAGAGTATGCAGCAGTCTGATGCATATTTTTTTAAATGTATGTTGGCATTGCAGTGGGGCTCTAGAACAAGGGAATCAATGCTAATTAAGACTCCTTAGTAATGACCACAGCTTCTCTTGTTTCTGACCCAACAAGGCATCATATATATTCCTCTGTAACCATTCTCTGTCGATATTTGTATGTTTGGTTTTTGGGGGGTGTGGGGGGGAGGGTGAATGGTTGTGAGTGAGAAGGGCTGTGGGCACTGGCTGCTTAAGTGTGGAAAGAAATGAAAACTGAAAAGTCTATTTCTTCAAATAATAATACCACTGTACTTTTTACAAGGACTTGATAGGTATGCAAGGTAGAAACTGAGGCTCATACAAATTCAGTTTGAAGGCAGTGTGGAGTAAAAACTGACTCCCGGGGCGCCTGGGGGGCTCAGTCGGTTAAGCAGCTGCCTTCGGCTCAGGTCATGATCCCAGGGTGCTGGGATTAAACCCCGCATCGGGCTCCTTGCTCAGCAGAGTTCCTGCTTCTCCCTCTCCCTCTGCCTGCCTCTCTGCCTACCTGTGCTCTCTCTCTGTCAAATAAATAAATAAAATCTTTAAAAAAAAGAAGAAGAAACTGACTCCCAGTCAGGGGACTGACCAGAGGAGTTGGACTGCCTCTGTGGGATCTTCTTGCCCTTCCCCTACCAACATGGAGAGTAAGCAGTTCATTCAGTAAAGTTAGGGGCGGGGGGGGGGGGGGGGGGGGGGGGGGGGGCAGATAGTTGTTGGAATTATGATTCGTTATTATTTGATGTGGCTGCTACTGACAGAGACCTAAAATAGAGGTACCTTAAACAAGATTAGTATTTTCCCCCCTAAGGACAAATAAGTGTGGAGATGGCAGTCCCAAGGTGGTGTGGCAGCTCCACAAGCATCAGCAAACGGGGAGTCTTCCCTCTTTCCCTCTTCCCATCCCTACTAAGTGGCTACTCTCTTTAAGTTGTGTCATGGTCACCAGATAGCTGCTGGGGTTCTGAGTTTGGAGAAATGGGAGAAGAAAGAACTTTCTGGCTCCCAGCTTTCCTGTAGCCCTTCTATGTAAATATTGGCAGGAAAGGCTGGGAAAGGTAGTTGTTTTCCATAGTCATGAGGGGTAAGGATGGAGAGAAATGGTAATAGGAAATCTGAGGAAAAAGACCAAGTGCTAAGACAAAAAAGTAAAAAATACAGGTACTCTATAATAGAATAAAGGGAGGGTATATATATTGGATTGATAATTCACTATGACATTGGGCACAGCCAATACACCAAATATCATCATGAGGAAATGTTGGTGTCAGAATTGAAATGCTGGAATACAACGCATTTTAGAGAGGACCTGTACTTTAGAACAAAGCCCTAAAAGGGAACTAACTAATATTCTGATCAACACTACAAAAGGATTTTTTCCATCCAAAATTAAAGTTTGCTTTTATACTTAACTTTAGTAATGGCTTCTGGATGGATTTTCAGATTTAGAAATACTTAAAAAACTGTGGGTCATTGGAAGAGTTAGCTAATCACTCTGAGCTTCAGTTTCCTCGTTTTGCAAAAGAAGAGTGAATTGTCCTGACCTAAAACGAAATGAGAAGATTGAGGAAGTTGTTAAAAAGATTCAAGGAGAGAATTGTGCGAGTTATTAATGCATGTGGAGCCCAGTGTCAGGGCGCCTGGTGGGCAAGTCATAAGTGGTAATTAGTATCTAGTTTGCAGTCATCCTGGTGGTAACAGTGACAGTTTTCCCCATGCTTATGCTACTGTGCTGTTCCTGTTGCCACGATGCAGGGCGCTTTAGTGGCGTGCTAGAACGTGTTATTGTTACATATTTACTAACTCTCTTTGAAGGGCTCAAGATGTCTTCCGTCAGGCGATGAAATCTCCCAGTGTGCTCCTCCATGTGCTTCCACCTCAAAACCGTGAACAGTATGAAAAATCAGTCATTGGACCACTTAACATTTTTGGTAACAACGATGGCATTTTGAGAACAAAGCTGCCGCCTCCTGTCCACGGAATATCAGGAATAAAAACCATAAATCTCACAGGAACAGGTAGTCCTGAAGAGGATGCATTGACCTCTCTGCAACAAAGCAAGAGCCCCCGGGTACCAAGACTGGGTAGAAAGGCATCCTCTCCCTCACTCTCCCCTCTCATGGGGTTTGGCAGCAAGAAGAATGCAAAGAAAATTAAGATTGACCTAAAGAAAGGTAATTATTAAATTATGCTTAATAGCATTCTATTATTGTAACATGTAAAATTGGTTAAGAGAAACACATTAAGGCTAATTTCGTTAATTCTCCCTTCACTTAATTGTATCAAAGAATAGATTTAAGTAGGTAACTTAACTCTCTTGAAATTGTACTGCTTTCTTATTCTTTTCTTCTGGAGAGTATAGATTATTTGAAACAAAAAAAAAATGATAAAGACATGTTGGGAAATGGAAAGAACCGTTACAAACTTGAGAGAAACACAGTACTAAAGAAGCACTGAAATTCATCTGAACCCTATTTTGAGGAAAATTAGTGATTTTTGTAGCACCCTTAGGTCAAGTCTAAAAAGCACATATTTGTTTCTAGTTCTCTAAGCCAGTTTTAAACCGGCAAAACATTTAGTCCTCAAAAAGCAAACATGTGATAATTATAATTGATAATTATTATATATAATTATATAATTGAAATTTCACTAATTCAGCATTACAAGCAATTTTTCAAAACATACTTAATTGCAAAAGCATGTATAACCTTGTCTTCATCTTTTCCAATTTTCTATACATTTCAAACCCAGATCAATGAGACTAGGACATGTGTGTACATGCATTTTTATGCAACATTATATATACATAAGCCTTCGTGTACTTCTGTGCTTTTGTTTATTTGTAACCTCCTGGTAATCCCTTCCCCCACTTCAACCTTCTGCACTCTGATGTGATCTTCAAGACTTAAATTTTTGTCTGAATTAATACAGAATTTAATGATCACAAGGTAGTTTTAAAATAGTTATGAACATATATAAAAAACAAATAACGTGCACCTTTAATTAGAGTATAGTGGTTATTCTGAAAGATCCTCTGGTCAGAGTTTTCTCCCCCTTAAGAATTCTGTACTGACTAGGAGACACAAATTTGCCTGTGTGCTTAAAAATTAGGCTTTTTTTTTCTTTTGAAAGATTTATTTATTTATTTGAGAGAGTGAGTGAGCATGCTCATGTTCGTGCACAAGCAGGGGGAGGGGCAGAGAGAGAGAGAGAGAGAATCCATAAGCAGACTCCCCACTGAGCACGGAGCCTGATGTGGGGCTCGATCCCAGGTCCCTGAGATCATGACCTGAGCTCACCTAACCAACTGAGCCATCCAGGCACCCCTAGGCTTTTTATGTAAATGTATCAGTTATGTTTTTTGTACAAATTATCCAGCTACCTATAAGACTTGGGGTTGAGTGCTTTGAGGATAGATAAATCAGACACAGAAGGTAACCTTAAGAATGCATCAGAAAGGGGGCAGCCTGGGTGGCTCAGTTGTTTGGGTGTCTGACTCTTGATTTCAGCTCAGGTCATGGTCTTGGGGTTGTGGGGTGAAACCTCGCATCGGACTCCTCGCTCAGCGGGGAGTTTGCTTGGGATTCTCTCTCTCCCTCTCCCGCTGCCCCTCCCCACCTCTCTCTCTCAAAATAAATAAATAAATCTTAAAAAAAAAAAAAGAATCCATCAGAAAGCCTTGAATGCAAAAATAAAGAATATGCCATCACAGCTGTACTTCGGGAAGATTATTCTGACAGCAAAAAGGTATACCAAAGAAGAGATCAAACAACAAAGGATCAGTAAAGGATATGTTGCATCCTGTCTAAATATAATATGTATGCCTTGCCTGCTGACTAGATATAGGAGGGGAGAGAGAGAGAGGAGATGCAGGTGGCTCGTTCAATGGAGATACCATTACTAAAAATTAGAATTTTTTGTAGATGAGTATATGTGAAAAGACCAGGATCTGAATTGGAGAAGGAGATTCATAGTGAAGTTTGAAATGCTGGTAAAAGTGTGTGCATGGTCCTAACGAAGAAGCTAACACCAGAGAGATTAGGGCCAAAGAGATTTAGGTGTCATCCATAGGAAGATGGCAGTTGGAGCCAGGAGCTGGCCAAGGCAGAGAATCTAGAGAACAAATTGTTCTAAGGCAGATCCTTGGGGAATATCTTTGTTCATGTGGGAGAACAGTAAGAGAAGAGTGGTAGACATGATGTGATCAGAGAGGTAAGAAAATAATCAGAAAATAAAGGCATGAAAACCAAAGAAGGGGCCATTAATTTCAAGAGAACAATTGGTGAGAAGTGTCAAGCTAGTGAAAGGGACAGATCAGAAGAGGAAAAATTAGTGGATGTGGTCATGGGTAGGTCATTGGTGGTGGAAGACTGAAGAAGTAAGATTGAAGTAAGGATGCTTTAGGGCAGAGATCTTTGAGCATACCTTCAGATAAAGTGAAAACCACATCCTCGGAGAGAGAGAGAGATTGAGATGCAAGAGAATGGGACAGCAAAAGTGAGGGAGGGAGCGAGGGGATGTAGCACAGGAGGAATTGAGGCCCAGGTCGGGGGAGCTGCAGGGTGGCTAGCTGAGTGAGTGCCTGACAAAACTCATGTCAGGTGGCCTTCGGCTGCTCATGGTTTACCGAGAAATCAATCTCCTGAGTTTATGGATAACATGTGGCATTTCTTCTGGGGCCTCAATAAACGAAAGTGTTACACATCTGCATTGGGCCCTAAATTCACTTTGAAACCATCATGGCCTGTCAGGAACTATAATCTGTATTTGCAACCAGAACAACTGAAGTGAATTTAAAACATTTGCTGGAATGTAAATATTTTACTTATTCTACATTAGTCTAAATTAGGTAGACTCGACTATAAGGTTTCTACTTAAGGTGACCATGCATTTTCCTGGTCTTACACACTAGGCCCTGAAGGACTGGGTTTCACTGTGGTTACCAGAGACTCTTCCATACACGGGCCTGGTCCCATTTTTGTAAAAAACATTTTACCAAAGGGAGCAGCAATAAAAGATGGCCGCCTACAATCAGGGGACAGAATTTTGGAGGTAAGAATTGGAATTAATATCCTCAATAAAATAGCCTTGGGGCTTAAATAAATATGTTAATATTTATATTTTGAACATAATATATTGAAAATTATCACTTGTAGACAAGATAAGGACTTTAATTGTAAAAAAAAAAAAAAAAAAACAACAACAACAGTTAACGGGAAGCCTAACTTCTAAGTTCCCCATAAGGCCAGCAATATAAGGACAAGTAACACTGTAAACTTTTCCCTATCTTCTCTGCCTTACTTCCACATCTTAGGGTCCCTGTGGAATTTGAATCAAATCTAGGAAGTCATCATAAATGCAGTTAGGGCTAAGAATTTCAGATTGATAGCCAAACTCTGGTAACAGTTTCTTTAAACTTCTCGTAGGGCTGGGCCAGCCTGTCTCCGGTTGATCTGTACCTATAAAGAAGTATTTGGAACTACCCAAAGCGAGAGGCTCCCCCCCCCCCCATGTATTTTTGTTTGGTAGCATTGTCTTCTTGGCTAAATATATATTATCAACTTACCTTTCAAGAAATCTTCCTCACTGAAACTGGCTGGTACAATTTAACTTTTTCATGGCATGGAAGTAACACTATACATTTTTATATAATTCTAGATTTTGAAAGAAGATGTATCAAATGACTAATATAGCTCTAAATTATAATTTCTAATAATCTATGTTAACCAGGAGACTATAACTTTCTAAACATGAAGAACACTGTTAAATTATAACAAAAGACTTTGGCTGCCAAAGGAATTTGCCGTGTGATTATGGTCCATTTTTTGTTTTTTGTATTAGGCAGAAAATGTTTCCAGGTCAGCATCTGAAATCCACTTCTTTTTAAGGAATTATTTTCTGCTGTCAGTTTGATGTCCCCCTCATAAGAATATGATATCTTAGGAGAAACTGCTTATACTTATTACTGACGATCTGAAATGATCTAGCACCATAATAACGATGGCCAGTGTAGTACTGGTCCTTTGAACATAGTTGGTTTGGGTCCATGTGTTCAGTTTTCATCTTTTCAGAGCTTTATTCATTGTAGGAGCCCACTTGCTACTTACTTTCAGAAATCATCTAGCATAGAAAGAAGATGGGGAGTGTTATAATCTGTTCATATGATGGCATCCATTAGGTAAATGGCAGAGATGTCACTGGGCGAACTCAGGAAGAGCTTGTGGCCATGCTGAGGAGCACCAAGCAAGGAGAGACCGCATCACTGGTCATCGCCCGTCAAGAAGGAACTTTTCTTCCCCGAGAGCTGGTAATGTTCAGGTCACAGTCTCACTGAATCTTCAATGCAGAGTTTTTAATATACTCAGTAAATTCATAGTGGCTGAGAGATGAGTTCTAAGTCACAGGTTTCATTTGTAACAAGAACTGAATCACACTAAGAGGTTTTGTTTGGTCCCATTTGGGGGTGTCATGGCTTTACAGTATCAATGCAGCGAGTTGGACATATGCCAACAGTGCTTCTGGGATACAAATTCAAGCACCCTTTTAAGGAAGCAATTTAACAATATTCAACTAAATAAAATATACTTTGAGTGTTATGCTATATGTTAGCTTTATGCAAAACACAGTCAGCAAAAATGGTCGTTCACCACCTTAATGCAGTTTGCAGTCTAAAAGGAAATAAAATATAACCAAGTCTTCAAAATGGTGATGAAGGTGATGAAAAAGAACTGCAGGGTGCTATAGGAACATGTCACAAGGGCATTTAACCTAGTCATGAGGGCCGGGAACCGTACCCTGAGGAAGAGAGTTTCGAAAGTCTTGTGAAAATGTATGTTCTTTGACCTACTAACTATACTTCTAGTAATCTGTCCTAAACTGATCATCAAAGATGTGGAAAAAATTCATGTACATTGATTTTTTTTTCCTCAGGTCCTATTTATTTTAGTGATCTATTGGACGCTGTACGACTGTGAAGTATTGGTTAGATAAGTAACTAGATAGCTCTCCAATGAAATGTAATAGTTACTTAAAATGGTCTTGGGGATGAACTGATAATAACATGAGAAAACGTTCATAGAGCATTAAGAAAAAAAGTAGTTTATAAAATGATATAGGCAGCATGATCAGATTACATTAAAATATCTTAATAAAAAGAAAAAAAAACAAAGAACCGGCAGGAGATGCACCCAGAAGGTTGGGATTATGAGACATTTTAATTTTCTCATTTTTAAAATAATGAACGCCTATTATTTTATTATTGACATGTATTTAAAAAGGCTATAGAAAAATTCAAAGGACTTTATGGCTAATAACAAAAAGGATTTTTAATTACCCCTTTTTAAAAATTTTATTTCTTTTGAATCTATATAAGAAATGACAAAGCTACATATAGGTAATAAGGTAGGTTCCCAGAGTTAGATCATCAGAACTAGTGAGGGTTAGTTGAGAAAACTGACTGTAGTTAGCTTGAAAAAGAGAAAGTTTAGGACACATTTTTATTGCTATCAAGTACATAGGAGTTTTTGTATGGATCAAAAAAGTAGACTTAATATATTTCTTCAGGTAGTTTCTATCCACTAGCGTACTTATGTATTAATCTGACTAACAATTTACTAAATACATGCTGTGCACTAAGTTGGAGGTTGTGGGGATACAAAAATAATTAAGACTCATTTCCTGCCCTCCTTGAGCTGGTACCAGAACAAATATTTGGAAGTGATAATGTTACAAGTTACAATAGTTTCTAACTGTTGGAGCTGTCCAAGAAGAAAACGGGCAACTTAGAGTGTTGGAACAGAGCCAAACTCACCATCTGTCAGAGATGCTCTAGAAAAAATTCTCCCATTGATACGGTGATAAGGGTAGATAAATTCTAAGATACCTACTGTAAGCCTAATATTCTGTTATCTATGCTTATATTCATGTTTGAATATACACCTTCCTGAAACACCTCTCTCATTTATTAATGCTCCTTAGTACTGACCAAAGGACCCCCTTCCCACCATGTTTCTCGTCCTTCCTTCTCCTTCCCATCATCTTGTCCATTTTTCCCCTTGCCCTATTGAATGCTCTGGGAAGATCTGCAGTAAAACAGTGAAGGGAAGAAGATTAGGTGGTATGAGCCGTAAAGACTATACTCCTCGCCTGCTTTCCTCTTCTTGACTCCTCCATTGCCAGCCATTTTGGAAGGCAGAATCTTGAATATCCTTCTCATTTCCTCACTTAAGCTCCTTACTCTTCCTAAAAAGAAATGCTGCAGAAACTTAGAGTCCAGATTTTTTTCCTAAAATGCAGATGGATTTTTCTTTTAATCCTTTATTTATCCAAACACCTTGGTCTTTCTCTACAGGGGTCACAGTGAGAAGAAACAATTAGAAAGAGGCAGCATGTACATATGACAGGAAGACCTTCACTTCTTATCCAACTTTTTGGTTGCTAAAGATAAAACTCTTAGAAAACTTTGGTGGGACTATGTGCTTGTGTCAGGGATAGGAGAACAAGGAAAGAAGTTTTTTGTTTTTAATTTTATTTTATTACGTTATGTTAATCACCATACATTACATTATTAGTTTCTGGTGTAGTGTTCCATAATTCATTGTTTGCATATAACACCCAGTGCTCCATTCAATACGTGCCCTCTTTAATACCCATCACCAGGCTAACCCATCCCCCCACCCCCCTCCCCTCTAGAACCCTCAGTTTGTTTCTGAGTCCATAGTCTCTCATGGTTCGTCTCCCCCTCCAATTTCCCCCCCTTCATTTTTCCCTTCCTACTATCTTCTTTTTTTTCAACATACATTATTTGTTTCAGAGGTACAGGTCTATGATTCAACAGTCTTACACAATTCACAGCGCTCGCATAGCACATACCCTCCCCAATGTCTATCACCCATCCCTCCCACCCCCCACCACTCCAGCAACCCTCAGTTTGTTTCCTGAGATTAAGAATAAGGAAAGAAGTTTTGACTGTGTATTCTGTTGAACTATGGTCCTGGAATGAGTGAAACCCTGCCTAGAAAGAGAAACATTCTATGGGCACCTGGGTGGCTCAATCAGTTAAGCGTCTCCCTTCAGCTCAGGTCATGATCCCAGGGTCCTGGGATTGAGCTGCTATGGGGGGCTCCCTGCTCAGCAGGAAGTTTGTTTCTCTTCTCCCTGTGCCCACCCCCCCTCACCCCGGCTTGTATGAGTGCTCTTCTCTCTCTCTCAAATAAATAAGTAAAATCTTAAAAAAAAAAAAAAAGGAAGAGAAAGGAACATTCTAGCCAACAAAAGAACCTAATAACAGAGCTCCAGCTGAGAACTCATATACCCTCATGAGGCCTCAGTTTCCCATCTAATAGTTCCTTTTACCCCTTTCCCTGTGTCTTCTAGAATTTGTGTGTGTGTGTGTGTGTGTCTGTGTCTTCTAGAATTCTTAACTTCACAGCTATTCCTTCGTTCTAGAAGCTCCCCCCGCCCTGCTCCCAGGTAAGGGGGAGAGGGATGTGACTTTACCCTGGTTGAAATTCTGAATGCATTCTCAATCACAGACAGTTGCAGCTGGAAGTTAATGAATGTAAAAATAGAATTTTCAAAGGGAGCTGAAAGAATCAGTATGTCCAAATCTAATTTGCAGATGAGTAAAGAGGTTCAGTGTGGTGAAGTAACCTGTTAATGGTCCTGCATTGCTCAGGAACTGGAGGCATCAGTTTCTTAACGCTTTGTGCATTATCTCTGGAGTTCAACTCTGGAAGTTCCGCATCACACAATGTTTCTGTGTGATCTAGAGCAGCTCACAAAATCATTCTAAGGCTCATTTGACTCATCTTTATCATAAGATTGTTTGGAAGATTAAAAGAGATCATATATGCAAAGCTCTTGGCATAGTTCCTGGCCAATTATAAGTTCTCAATATATGTCAGCTATAATCATTCTAGTACCTTGCCACTTCTGTAGTATTAAATACAATAAAAGCACAATACTAAACTTTAGATACCTTGTGGGGAAAATAGATCTATTCAGGCTTGCCTGGGACTGACTAACCATTATTTTGACCATTTTTTAATTATTATTTTAAAATACATACTGGTATCCAAAATACTGAATTACAAAATAGAGAAAATTTTTTTTTTGGTTTGAAACTAAATCCGTAAGTCAGGCAGCCTATATGTATTAGTTCACTCTCATTTAGTAGAATTTAGTGAAATTTGGTTTCTATCCCAAAAAGTGACATCATAGGCCAAGCCCCCCAGGGAGCATATTAAATTAATTGGGCAACTGTGAGATTATGAGTGCCAATAAATTATTTGTTCTCATTGTTTTTAGTTTTATACCAAATTTGGAAGTCATGTGGTTAGTATCCCTTCTCCTAGAATTCTCTGGCAAACAGTCTAGACTCTTTAAAAAACATTTGACTTCTAATTATCTAAATATGTGGAATATTCTTTGTAACCACAGCAAAGCAAGGCCTTTGAGGATTACAAGCACCGAATTAATGTAGACCTGGAATCCTTGTTTTGAAGAAATATGGAATAGTCTTCTTTGTCCAGCCCAAATGCCTTCCTTGAGTGCTAAGTGGCAAGGACCATACAGGAAGTTTAAAGAGAGGTCACGTTTGGCACGCACAGCACTGTTTCACTGTGAATCACTTCATAGGGTGACATGCACGGGACTATTTGAAAGAACAGAAAAAGAACAGTATGCTATGTGACGCATCTCTGTATTTTTCTTTCAAAAAAAATGAAGGTGTCACCACTTTGGTCTCTCCTACCTTATCGTGACTGGGGCACACACTCAACTTCCATTGAAAATCTGGCAGGATGAAGGAAGGACACCACTTCCTGCTTTTGTCTTGTTCTATCTCCTTTGAAGAAAACAAACAGTGTTTATTGTTTTCCTGTTCTGAGAAACTGTCCTCTCCCTTCTCTCAAGCCTTGCTGTTTCAGGAGCTGGATCCTCTCTGAATGGCACTGCTCTGCCTGGTTTCCGACAGTTAAATCTTCCTTACTTCCTGCTTATCTTCGCTCCTTGTAAAGTCTTAACACTTAGAGTCCAGGGAGCATGTGGTCAGCACTTTTACAGGAAGTCCCAATATAGGATGGTCTCTCTCGGATGTGACCCTCTGTCATTGCAGAGGCCTGAGCACCCATTTCCTGGTTATTTCTCCCGACCTGCCACGGGAGGGCTGGGCTGACTTCTTTCCATGTCCTTCCGCCTGAGCAACTGGTTAGTATCACAAATGCAGCGGCGCATTTAGCCAACCTTCGTTCCATCGGCGGCAGGCTGGGATGAACATCAAATGAGAGGAATTCATGTACTAGCATC